AGTGAATGAGCAAAAAGTTTTCCAAATATAATCTGAAATTTATAAAAATTAGTATTTTATTACAGAATACCTATAGATTACCGCCTTGAAAAGTAATGACTCCATATTGGTGCATTTTCATGTGTAAATTTAGTGGCGATTTGAGATTAGTGAAATATAGGACATTGAATAATACCAGTTGATAAAGCACTGTTATAAGTTTCTGCCCTTATAATATTCAACTAAAATGTTCTTGGAGTGATGGCATTCTAGTAAGAAAAGGATTCCATTATCCAATCATTTTAATGAATTCTTTAGAGAATTGTACTTCCATGGGAACTTTGGGAAAGTTTTGGCAAGAAAATTATGTTTTCTCTAATGGAAAAAAAAAAAAAAACTTCTTTAAGTAGCAGAGTAAAACTTCATTAGTTTGGGAAAACAAAACCAAACCACAAGATATGTGGGAAAATGTATTAATGAGTATGCCAGGCCACAAAAAGGATAAAAAAAAAGAAACAAAAAAAAAGTGAACAGGAACTCAAAAATCTTAATTCCTATCTGATACATAGATGTTTTGATAAACGTATAGCCATAAAAAACATGGCTTGCATGATTTACAAAAGAGAAATCCCACCCCCACCAGGCACGATTATCAAGATGAAGTGCCTCTCTGTAAGTTTAACTTAGAACTCAAGTTTAAACCCTAGAAGAAGACAGAACACTGATTGGTGCTGAAGATATTAACAGTTCTTTCACTTTGATTTTCTCGTGGATAGTACTTATGATGTTATCAGATCTGCAAAGATTCTTGGGCTTCATATTTAGTACAAGATTGGGTCTTTCATATAGTGTGTAAATCTCTAGAATGAAGAATCAGAAGACTGAATTTAAGTTCTTACTCTAAAGTAGCTCTCTTGGAAAAAATTTAACATCTCTGAGCAAAGGTTTCTTTTGCTAACAGATATTACACACAGGAAATGACCATGCATATAAGAAGTGTCTTTTTATTATTTATTCTTGAAAATAATGAGATGACAAAGAGCAAAGGCTTAATTTTTAAAGTACTTTTTGAAAGTCCTTGTTACTTCTGAATAGTTTGTTCAAGTTCTCTAAGTCTCAGTTTCCTCATATGTTAAATGGAGATGACAATTCATACACTTAATTAAAATATCCACTGAAGTGCTTCATAGGTTTAGGCACTTAATGAATACTATCTTTCCTTCTCTGCCCTTGAGAACAGGCATGGAACACGTTAAGACATCTAAAACAGAACTGCAAAATAAATGCTTTAGTGTCTTTAGTACATATGTTAAAATGTATGTGCTTATGTTTATCTGTGGAGTAATAAAAATTATCACTTTACCTATAGTATCTTGACATCATCAAGTATAATCCATTAGAAATCCAAGTCAAACAAAAGTAAAATCATCCTTTAGGAATATTTTAACAACCCATGAAATAATCATGAGATAAAAATCTCATTAAATCAGATAATTTTAGGAAGATTTTTATTAAAAAGTGATTTCCACCTTTTGATAGTTTTTGGTGATCATGAGGCTGTGTTCAGTTGCTCTTGTTCAGCCCTCCCCTGCACTGTCTCTTCATCATGATATGTTCTGTCTACCCAATCCTCTATAATGCAGTCTCCTTCCTTCAGGTGTTTTCTTATTATCACAGCTAAACAAGGAACCTACTGCCTTTACTTCTATGGTTCTAAACTTATATTGCCGCTTGGCACTTCTCAACATACTGCCCTATTTTTAGATATTTACACATTATATTTCACTACTAGATTAGAAGCTTCTTGTGTTGACTACCTTGTTCATCATTACCCTCCACATAGCATTATATGATCCTGTATTTATTAGGCATTAATTATTCAATTCACATTTGATGAATATGCAAATTATACTTTAAGTAATGTTTTGTAGCTAGATCCTACAGCTTTAGTATTTAATTTCTTATACTTCTCTAATTAAAATAGATATGCTTTGCATTCTTTTATTTTAGTTATTTCTCTTCAGATGCTGCCACTGGCATGTGAGGTATTTAAAGCCAAGAAGGCATATTTTAATATTAAATATATATTCATACTTATTTTCATTAGCTAGTGAGTATTACATTTTAAAAACATCTGTAGTGAACAAAACAAATGTCCTATAGAAATCATTAAATTTGGTTTTAACAGATTCCCATTAGCTGGAACAACGTTACATATGTCTTCTTAACAATGGATGAATTTGATTCAATGAAAGGCAAAAGAAAGCTGAGTTATTGAGCACTTACTATGTGCAAAGCAAAATGCTAAATGCTTTGTAATCATAGTTGATATTGAATTATATCCTCATTCACTAGTACTCGATACAGTTTCAAAGTGTGATATAACTTCTGGATAAGAGATAATATAGTTTACCTATTAAGATTGTGTCTATTATAACCCACCAGTATCAACTAATCGTTAAAATATTTTCCAAGTAAAGTTTGAGTTTGTAGTTATTGGAATAAAAAATACTTTCACATCTGTTGGCAAAAAATATGTGGACTGCAGGCATCTAACAAAGTAAACCTAGTTAATGAATGGTTCATGTCTGTGACTTTTATTTTGCAATATGGTTGGCAAAGCTGATGCTTTTGGATCCTTCTGAATTAGTGAGAGAATAAATAGACTCCTACATCTGGAGAAATGTGGTTTATGGCTTTGTTCTGATTTCAGTATTTGGTGCCAGGTACTCATCACCTGGGGTGGCTTGTCATTGTGGTAAAATAGAACCCATGACTTATTCTGAAAAGAATGCTCTGTTTCAGAACAATGCTATTGTTAATGGAACTTTGATTTCAGTAACCGAACGCCAAGAATGTTTTTAAACACTCTGTTAACCATCTCATCAATTTAGATCAGCCAGACATAACATGTGTGAGAAGATAGCTAAAATTGTCATCGATAAAACTGATACGATGAAAGCTTCTTTCCCCTTAGGTAATCATTTGGTATTGGTAACCAAGTTGTTCTCATGCTTTCTTTTTTATTGCTTAAGGCTGTAGCACATTGCTCTTGTAATACTTGCCAAAGTTCTATGGAATCATTGTTTGAGATTCACCATATGTGTCTTTTATCCCTGCTCAGTAAGCATCTTGGCTACATGTCAGTTTGGCATTTGTTACTATAAGAACTTCCATTCCTTCACTTGCTTCTGATTCTATCCATGCTGTCAGCATAGAGAATTTCAAATAGCCATCTCTGGGACCAAAGAAACTCACAAGATAGCAACCTGTTTTAACTAGACCCTTCTCACCGAAGTACTTGCCACTTAAGACAACTGATATATTCAGTCTACCTAGTTTGGGGTTGACTGATCTCTGAAACACAAATCATTCCTCACTCTGTTTTTGAGACCCTTTGTTTAGATTACAGGCAATGAACAACCCTGTAATTTACGATACAGTAGTAATTTATCGTGGTCATTTTACACAGAGAAGACATAGGGAGAAGAATGGGAGTAAGTGTAGAACACGTGGCTTCTGTTTAGTTTTCCTTCTTGTGGATTAGTCAAGACATCAGAACTAAATCATGAGTTTCACAGGCTTTTTGAGTTAAATCCAGTGTTCTTAGTTCTGTTTAGCGTCTCTTGTTCCCTACCTTTACTTTTAGAAGTGATAGGAACTCCAGAATACATGGAAAATTATGGAACAAATATAATACTCAGAAAAAAGTTTCATGTCAGAATTCTGGCAAATATGGAGTTTATCAGGGAGATTCTTCCCCTCCCCTCAAACACTGATATCAAGAACAATCTCAGAAGCTAAGTATTGCCAAGAGGATCACAAGAAGGCACAGGCCTTGATAGTCAGGATCTGAGGTTTTAAGCACAGCATGGAAATGTACATTTAAGCCAATGGACATGTAAGTCTGGGTACCTGACTGGGCCATAAATATGAACCACTGGTCTCAAAAGACCATTCCACATATGAGAGATGAAAAAAAGTTCACCTGGTTCTGTGAGTAAGAAAGTAAATCTCTGTAAGAAGATTGAAAGCAAGTGCCATCATGCATCATTTTAAGTTCTATATTTATTATATCATTATGAGACTCCAAGTTAAGATGTTAACAAAAAAACAGATCTTAGCACCATCAAGTTAAATCCATTAGAAATCCCAGTCAAACAAAAGTAAAATGAAAGATTCCTATAGAAAATAAACAGCTTCATCAAAGATAGTTTATATAGGCAAATTACCAACCATGTAAATATTACTTTGTATATTATTTGCTTCGCATGTACAAAGAAAAGCTTACGAAATATAAAGAGAAATTGACAGAAATAGAGCTATAGTGGAGGATTTCCACTGTCATGCTGTTTTGGCAAATTAATAAAATAATGATAAATACAAACATTCATAAAATCGTATTCTAGCTACCTACTTCTTTCTCAATAAATAACATGCTGTATTTTAGAAAATTATTAAAAGTAATGATTTTGATTATATATATATATATACATACATATGTGTGTGTGTGTGTGTGTGTGTGTGCGCGCGCATCTGGGACCAAAGAAACACAAGATAGCAACCTGTTTTATATCTATTTGTGTGTGTGTATGTACATATATGTGTGTGTGTATATAAGTGTGTGTATATATACAAAAGCATTTTTAAATAGAGCTTATTGTTATAAAACATGAACTCCGTGAGCTCAATGGTGAGCAAATCTACACTTGAGCACCTAAGGCTGCAGCTGAGAATGAACAAACTCACTAACACAAAAATGCATGCCCCCTCCTTTTATTTTAGATCCCTTTTCTTCTACACCTGATCTGAACCAGGTGAGAAGTAGGTGGGCATGTGCAGACGCAGTCAGCCCTTGACGCTCAGTGTAGTGCAGGAAATGCGCCACCGCTGAACATCCTCTGGCTCAGCTCCTTTCTTTCATGTTTAGGTGCCTGGCACCTCTGACGATTGCCGTAGGTGCCCGGTGGACCCGCTGCCCCGGGCGCAGCCACCTGCCACGCCCTGCTCCCCGCCCTCTCGGCGCGCCGCCGCAGTGCGCAGAGCAGCTCTGGTCCTCACAGCCCGTGCACCGGAGGGGCGCGCTCCCGAGCTGGTGCAGTTTCCCAGCGCGGTGCCCGCCCCTCATCCTCCTCTAGTCTCCCTCCCCTTGCCGACTGCCGCCCCAGGCTCCGCCATGGGGAATGTGCCATCTGCGGTGAAGCACTGCCTCAGCTACCAGCAGCTTCTCCGGGAGCATCTCTGGATCGGGGATTCAGTGGCAGGGGCGCTCGACCCCGCGCAGGTACCACCTCGCGGCCCAGGGTGTCCCCACCCTCATGCGCACTGACAGCCAGCCTCTCTCCCTGCAGCCTTTTGGTGCCCACTTCCCTTTGTGTCACCTCCTCACCCCAGGGACCTTCCCGCAGCAGCTCTGTCGTGTCAGGCCCCACCCCTTAAATGGTTTCCCATCATCTCTCCTCTGTCAATGTAACGACCCACCTCTATAGATTAGACCCAGCAAAATCCCTACCTGTGACCGTTTACTGGTTGCCTAAAGGAAACAATTCCTTCTTGGTGTTTTCCTGGAAAGGGATGCGTTACGTAATACGATTTGTATTCATAGGTATTCCTTCAAGGATACTGTCCTTATTCTCAAAGCTCCTTGTACTGTGTAAGACGACACATTTGTCACAATGTGAGGCAGAAAAAGGAATGAAACCAGTAGAAGGTTAAGAACACATAGCAGGATGAAATAATCCATCAGAACATTAATTATCTCAAATGTATTTGTGCCTCAACAAATTTCACCAAACTTGCAAGAAAGTGTAAATAACAGCAATTTCAGACTAAAACTATTCCCACGTTGTTCCTGAAAGCCCATGTTAAGGCAATAGGCAACCTAATACTATGATTTAATGCACTCTCAACCAGTGTCAGATAAAGAAAAGGTGTCAGATAAAGAAATTAACTTTTTCATTTAAAAAGCTGAAAATCTAAAATTCCACAAAATATTAAATGATATTTGTTATGAAAATGTTGAAACGGAGTGAACGAGGAGCACTGTGAGGACTTTTTGTTGTTGAACTACATGTGTTGGATGCAGATTATTTCCGATTTGACTTGTGAACAAAATTTCTTATGTCATTGTAATATTTCTGTCAGTAAGCATAATTGTACTATGTGGCTTTAAATCAACTATTCTCATATAAGGTATTCATTTTCTATTGTGTATTATCAGTTTGGTGTATCATATGTGATATTGCAATCTTCTGTCCACAAATTAGAATTCAGTGTTTGTGTTCTTTAGAAGGTATTTTGCTTCTCATTGCTTAAAAGATGGCTGTGGTCATCTAATCTAAAACCTGTTGATGACGGCGGTAGAGGGGAAAAGTTATTCTTTATCTTCCCACATGTTAACATGGTTATTTAATTTTCCTACATTCTGTTTTGGCCTTCCTGTTGTAACTTTTATCTTGATGTTCTTGACTTTTTAAATTCAGGCTGTTATTTAATCAGGAATTCTTTACTTATATTTCCTAAGTCTGAGACTTTATATAACTTTTTTGAGTTAATACTATATTTATCTCTCCCACTTTATTTTCTGATTTATACAGTTTGTGGGTTTTAGGGACAATGATAGAACAGGTAAGGATGTCTTCTTTGCCCTATTAAGATATGGAAGCAGGTTAAATTAAAATGAGTAGGATTCCTGAAAAATAAAATTTTGGGACATTCATCAGCTTAAGGAAGACTTTTTGTCCCTTTCTGAAGAAATAATATGCCTTCTATAAATATTGCCTTTTTACTCACCAACTGCTTTGCCTAGAAACTCCTAGTTGTTTCGCAAGTACAGATTTAAATTGTTTTTTTGTCCAGCTCTTTTATCCCTCCAGAGTTATGCCCCTTTTTCTGTGTTCTCAGGAATTTTTAAAATAATTCTGTTTTAGTTTCAATACTGTTGAATTGTAATATTTTTCTGTCTCATCCTATTTGAGCTCACAGCAGCACTGACATCTGACACCTGGCTTTTCAAACTTTATCTTCCTAGACTTCTGATCTAACAAACCTTCACTGCTTTCAGCCCTATGTCTCTGGTCTCTCAGTCACCTTGGCAGGTTACGTGGCTTTTATCCACTGGGTAAATATCCAGATTCCCCATCACCATCTACACTCTTCCTACTGTGAGTGTGAGTGACTACACTCACTATTTTGGTTACTGTTTGTGCACCAGTGTTTTCTAGACTTACATTCCCATTTTTTTTCTTGAATTTCAGTCTAGATGGTCAGCTGCTCATTTGACATCATCACTTGGGTATCTCAAAAGCAACTCAAACTCAACATTTTCAAATTTTTAGTTATGTTCTACTCCTTCCAACACTGGACTTTCTCCAGTATTTCCTATTGCATGGAATGTCATCATAATTCATTCAATTCTACAAGCATACACCAGAAACTATCTTCTTTCATTTCCCTCACACCCAATGTATCACTGAGTCCTGCAGTTTTACTTCTTGAATTTCTTTCAAATCTATACCTTTTCCCAACTTCAAAGCACCATTCAATTTTAAAATGGCATTATCTTTCATACAGATAACTGGGCTGTTACAGTAGTCTTCTTACTTTCCAGGAATCCCTCTTCAACCTGATGTCTATATAGCTAGTTGGAAAGTTTTCCCTATTTCAAAGAAAATAATACTATTTCCCTCCCCATTTCAAAACCGTCTGTAAATTTCCATTGCTTTAAGGAATAAACACCAAAACTTTTAACGTGTTCTCTAAACCTCAAATGATCTTTTCATTGCACCTTTCAGCAACATCATCTTAAGCTATTCTTTTTTGTTCTTGCCACTGTAGCCACAGTGGCCTTCTTTGAGTTCTTTAATAAACTGTGTTCCCTCTGGAACCACAGTGTTTGCTTACTTTCGTCTCTGTTAGGAAGGTTATTTTTAACAAATTAATTTCTAATTAATCTTCAGCCCTCAACTTGCCTGTTACCTTCTCATGAAATCTCTCCCAGACTCTCAATGCCAGAAGCTTTTGTTATACTTTTACTGCATAGCAGTATATTTATTATATATAATACATATTCTATATTTTTATGATTACTTGATATTTAATTACTTTGCAGACATTAAGCACAATGAAAGTAAGGAAGCAATTTGCCATGGGATTCTCAACACTTATCAGAATGTCTGGTTGATTTTTAAAGGTCAATAATACTTGTTGAATGAACAAATGAATGAATGTTTTCTCTTATAGGCCATTAGCATCACATGCCTATGAACACCGTGAAATTCTTCATAGCATTTGTTCAAGGTCCAACAAAATGATTGGCACATTATAGCATCATGGTAAATATTTGCTAAATTAATACAAGATCAATGAGAATTGGAGACGTGGTATAAATAGAGTTTGGTCTTAGCACCAATCAATGAGTATTATTACTGTTTTTCTTTTACCTTTTTGTCTCATAGGACCTAATAGTGGTTTAATGGAGGGATGAGGTGAAAATGATTTCTGGGGTCTGTCAAGACTGCAGAGAGCTTAATCAATTCTCTATTGTTGAATCTGGCAGAGAGAATCATGAATCAACCTGACTCCTGTGATATGAAATGATTTGATTGCAGTTAGAACACAGAATGTTCTGTTTTTTAATTTCGCATGTGTGCAATAAAAAGTTGAAAACCTAGATATTTTTCTGCTAACTTATCCCATGATTTTGTTTGTGCAAGAGCATGACCAGATGTTTATTTTTCAGTTTACATATTAGAGATCACATATCCCTGATAAATTATTAGAATTAAATATTGTATGTGTGCATATAAACACATAGACATATTGGAAGTTTAAGAATGTATTATCAAATATCAAAAGAATAAATATGAATAAAAGGCTTATTCTACCACAGATACACTAAGTAAATTTTTTGGGTCTCTATGTTTTTGCTAATGACAGTAGTTTTGCAGAAAACTCCCTTAATAGACCAAGAAATTAAAATTGCTCATTCTGTAATTCAAGATATCTCTTAGAAAATGTTTTATTTTCTTTAGCTGTCTCTTTTAAAAAGAGTATAATGAAGCTGGCTTAATTGGTATGTTTTAAAGTTTTGATTACATTTAATGTTCCTAGGGAAGAGATTCCCCCTTTGATTTTCAAGAGTTCCTTAAGCAATAACCTAATCTCTTCACATATTAACGCGCTTCTGCAAAAATAAAATTTCCAAAGACCTAAATTCTAATATAAACAATGTTTCAAGCCTATTATATTTCTAAAAATAAAATTGTAGATTATGTGAGATTAAATTTATAGTTAGTTTATATTCAATTCTGATCCTTTATGTTACATTTGCTGTCAGCAAAAATTATGATTGGTGCTAAAGGGTCTCTGGAATTTAAATGTATTATATTTCTGCTTAAATGTAATCGGAAGCTAATGTAACTTTATATTTTTAGCTTGCAATGATGTAGTTCTTAGTACATTTACTAAATATCTTAGGGTGTTTGAGGAAGAATTTTTGGACAGGGACCAAACTGCCATCATACTGTTTTCTATTTGTCTCATATGTTCTTTATTTGTCTTCTTACCATTTTTTATTCTTTGCCAGCTTCTTTTGAAATTATGTAGCATTTTAATTTCTCATTTTCCTCCTGAATTGACATGTTAGTGATACTTTTTTTTTTAGTATACTCTTAATTGCTGTCTGTAAGATGTCAACATAAAACCATGGCTTGTTAAAATAATATATTAGTACTATTATAACTTAATAAAAATCTAAACATGACTCTAACTTCATTTGCTGTCTTCTGCCTTTTATATTTTTGTTTTCATATATTACCTATATGGTATATTTATAATACATGTGTATACAGTCAATGTCCATTCATATTTATGCACCTAATTTCTCTTTTCTCTGTATTTCTTTCTTCATCCCCATTCTTCCATTAGATTACTTTTAGATTGTTTACCTTCAACCAGAAGTATTTGTTTCAATATTTTCTTTAGTAAAAATATGTACTAATATTGTTTTTCTTTCTTTGAAATTATATACATACATATACACTACTATGTATATATATACACACACATGTTTATAAATATAAATAAATATTTACTATAAACTTAATTTTATCTAAAAAATTATAAGACATGATAGCAGTACAAATGCAGATTTCTCAACAGTTGCAGTGGAAGCCAGAGACAATGAAATCAGCTATTTGTCTTATTTTTGGTCCTTTGATAATTTATCTTTCATTCTCTTCTCTTTGTATTTGCTTTCTCATAGTATGACTATGGCATGTATAGACATACTTTCTTTTGTATTTATCAGCTAATGATGTGTAACACTTCTTGGATCTATGACTGGATGTTTGTTGAGTTTCGCATTTTGCAACTTTTTAACCTTTTTTTTTTTTTTGAGACGGAGTTTTGCTCTTGTTACCCAGGCTGGAGTGCAATGGCGCGATCTCGGCTCACCGCCACCTCCGCCTCCTGGGTTCAGGCAATTCTCCTGCCTCAGCCTCCTGAGTAGCTGGGATTACAGGCACATGCCACCATGCCCAGCTAATTTTTTGTATTTTTAGTAGATACAGGGTTTCACCATGTTGACCAGGATGGTCTCGATCTCTTGACCTCGTGATCCACCCGCCTCGGCCTCCCAAAGTGCTGGGATTACAGGCGTGAGCGACCGTGCCCGGCCCTTTTTAACCACTGTTGCTTCAAACATTGTTTCTGTTTCTTGTTTACTTTTAAAGCCTCTCCAGTTAGGCCTACAATTTGAAGAATATTAGAACTTTCTCTGTGCCCTATTTATATTTTACATTCTGTTTTTCATTCTTTTTTCTCCAAATTCAGTCTGAACATTTTCCTCTCATTTATGTTCCATTCCACTAATTTCTTCTTCAGTTTTTGTTTAATTTGCTATTAATCTAACTTATTGAGGTCTTAATGTTCGTTATATTTTGAGTTAAAGCATTTCTATGATTTCTAAAAGATAGGCTTTAGTTCTCTACCACCATTCAAACTATTTCCACTCCAGCCTGTAAGGCTCCTGGAAGCTCTGATGGTCTCAGCTTCTCAGTTGCTGATACAGAATTGGCAAATGCCTCAAAAAGAAAAGTTATGCAGACTGTTGGGCTCACCACTTTATTTTTTTCTTCTGCATAGTATACTGGCTGCTGAAATACTCATTAACCAAATTTCAGAGACTATTAGATAAGTGTTTTTCTTTAATATTTTATCCAACTAATATAATTGCTGTCAGTGAGAGGTTTATCATGAACAAGCTAGTCAGCCATTATTGAAAGATTAACTATATAATGAGGAAATTAACTTTAAAAATACAAATTGTGCAATTTAGTTTACATTGTAAAAATATATTCATTTACCATACTACTTGAACTTGTTATATTCCAACTAACATGCATACTAGATTAGCAATTCGAATTCCAAAGAAAGAATAAAAAGATTATCTGCTTCATGAAAAATACTGCATAGAAAAAAATAACTATTCCAAATGGTTTTTAGTATGAAGAACAAGTTATAAAGATAATGAATATATATTCTAAATAATGTTAAAGGTAATATTATGCCCAATTTTAGTATCTGCTCTTTGAAGAACAACACACTATTTACTCTCTCTTTATATGTAATAAACTTTAATAAAATTTTGAGTTCAATATTTTTTAAAAGTGTTAAATAATAAAGTAGGTCCTTTATAATATTTTATCTTTATTGACATAAATGTATATCAAATCTTTTATGAGCTAAAGTTGGTAAAACTATTTTCTTCTTCTTATAAGTATTATCTATCTTTTCCATTGCCTCTTTCTGATTTGGGTACATTCTCTATCTCTCTATAAATCTTCCTATACATTATAACTTTACTCAGATGCATCTTCTAAACTTGTTTATCCTCTTGACTATATGTATATGTTTGTACCTGTCTATGCATATGTATGATGTGCTACCAATTGATTTCAATTTTTTGAAAGAAAATTCTTTTGTACTATTGGTATTTTAATTTTCTTTAAATAATTATCTAATTTATTTTAGGCTTTTAAAAAAATAAGTGCTTTAAGACTGTACATAGCCATTTCTCTGTTGTTTTAAGTGTCTTATAAGCTGCTTATATGATTACTC